AAAAAAAAAAAAAAAAAAAAAAAAAAAAAAAAAAAAAAAAAAAAAAAAAAAAAAAAAAAAAAGTGAGGGGACCTGTCTTCCATTCCCTTTACATGGCCTTAGGTCCTTGCTTTATCTGGACAGGATGGATGTGTGGTACTTCTCTATGCATGGCCCACGTACGTAAACATGGGCCCACCAGGCGGATTCGTATACAAACTCCTTGAGCCTGGCTTGGTCGGGTATGTTTGACATACATTACCGAACGCCACGGAAAAAGGAAGGACCTGCATGATATCATAGCAAGCATAATATCGAATGTACGCGTCCGTACCATCATTATGTACGGAGAAGTAACCCTATGCACATGACACACATTATGCATGAGGTCCCTAAAGCTTACCTCCATGCCATTATATATACAATGTTCCATCCCCTCGCCGTGCTACATAGCATGACTTAGTTAAACATAATGTAAGCATATCGTAGTACGCCAGTCACCGCATCCATGACATGCAAAACTCTCAACACATTCATGACATGTCAATTAATTTCATGCGTACAAGGTAAACAATTCATGGCAAAACAACATCACATACATAAGCGTGACATACATCGACATTTCACAGCATGAAAACACATGACATAGCATACATCGACAGCACACATGGTACATGTAAGGGCCACAAGGCACGCACCATCATACATAAGAAACTAAAGCCAACAGCAAGGTTACTTACCTCTTTGACCTTGGCTGAAGTCACTCGCGATAAGCTAACTTCCACGTCCAACGACCACCTATAACACCACAATATACACTTAGCGTCCTTTCATGATGTAACCCAACTAAACCTTATGTCCAACCATCAAGGTAAGTTCCTATCATGATCTGTGTTTAATAATTAAGAGTTACACGGGCCTAAGTAACACTATTGTTACCTGACTTATTATGTAACATGCAGTTACAAATGATTAAATTCAAATCGTTCATATGGAAATAGTGAATGAAATACTATATACAATGAGTTTATGTAATATTGAATCACAAAATTTAATCTCTTCTTAAAACGGTTAATTAAAAGGATAAATATTTAACAAGACGGTCACATGTAACTTAATATTACTATGAAGTGAGTTGTAAAGTCTTGCCTATGCGGGTATGCTATTTGATTTGCTTGGGTTAGAATGGGTAACAACCTTAAATTTCTACTTAACCTAAAGTCGTTGCTAGAATGTGTCATGGTTTCCTGAGTTGCGATGCTACCGTTAACCGTATAGGGGAGCCTTGCCTTTACCTAAAAAATAACAGTAGCACATGACCGAATTATTTTAAGAAATACTCAGTAAGTGACCCTACTATTCGAGTTAGATGCAAAAACATACAATTATGAATGAGACATGAGACCTAACATATCAGTCTATATTCCCTTTGGCAGCTATCCTAAGCAAGTAATTGAATGTGTATTTACTGTACTACACACGGTCCACACGTGCGAGTATGGATCCACCAGTTAGTTCGCACACCTCCTAGTCCCCTTTCTTGGTCGGGTAGCATTCTCTAGAGCTATTGTTACCGAATATTCGTTAGGAATAAAGTGTCACCTGGGTAATTTCGATTCTTTTAGATCTTTCTTAGTCATCCTTTCATCAGGATCACTTTCATTCTTAAGTGATCTCGGTGTATACTAACATATATCCTACGAACTTAAATGCATACTAATCTATAGTCTACGAAGTTTAAATTGCAAACTACCCTGTAGATGTGTCATGGTTTCCTGAGTTGGATGTCACCGTTAACCGTACAGGAGAGCCTTGCCTTTACCTAGAAAATAAGAGTAGCACATGACTGGATTATTTTAAGAAATACGCAGTAAGTGACCCCACTATTAGGATTAGATGTAAAAACATAAATGAGACCTAATATATCAGTTTATATTCCTTTACGCGGCTATCCTAAGCAAGTAATTGAATGTGTATTTACTGTACTATACACGGTCCACACGTGCGAGTATTGTCCCACCAGTCAGTTCGCACACCTCCTGGTTCCCTTTCTTGGTCGGGTAGCATTCCCTAGAGCTGTTGTTACCGAATATTCGTAGGAATAGAGTGTCACCCGGGTAATTTCGATTCTTTTAAATCTTTCTTAATCATCCTATCATCAGAACCACTTTCATTCTTAAGTGATCTCGGTGTATTCATATATCATTCCTTTACTCGAGCGTCACGCTACGAACTATATTGTTAAAATGTTCTCGATATGGCACTATTTTGATAGTTTCTTTCATCTTTGGACTCCCCCACGATGGAGCTTATTACCCATTTGTCATTTTGTGGTTTGAAACAACTTTGAAAAGGTCAAAATCAAGTTCTATGAATAGACAAACTAAAACAACCTTGTATGACAAACATGTTACAAAACATCCCACTTTTTTATGCTAAAATAATGGGTAATGCAACGTTGAATTTGAGGAAGAAAAGAGAGAGAAAGACACCAAAAACCCACTAAAAAAGAAAGACAAAATCAAAACAAAATCAAAAGAAAAAAAAGGTGGGAATTATTAGAGAATAGAAGAAACCCAACCAAAACCCAACACAAAATCATCTTCCTCCTCTTCTTCTCCTTCCTTCTAAACGACAACAAAATCCCAAAAAAAAAAAAGAAAAGAAAAGAAAAAAAAAACACACACATTCCAACAAACTTGGAACCTCATCCATGGCACCAAGCAAGATCAGAAAAGCCTTAGGGGCAGTCAAGGACAAGACAAGCATAGGGTTGGCAAAAGTCGGTAATAGCGCGTCGTTGTCGGATTTGGAAGTGGCCATTGTCAAAGCTACAAGACATGAAGAATACCCGGCCGAGGAACGATACGTGAGTGAGATCTTAAGCCTCACGTGCTACTCGAGAGCGTATATAAGCGCGTGTGTTAACACGCTCTCTAGACGTCTCAATAAGACCAAGAATTGGATTGTTGCGCTCAAAACCCTAATGCTAATCCAACGTTTGGTGTCTGAAGGTGACCCGGCTTATGAACAAGAGATCTTTTTCTCGACTAGGCGTGGTACGAGGTTCCTTAACATGTCGGATTTTAGAGACACTTCTCTATCAAATTCATGGGATTACTCTGCTTTCGTTCGTACTTATGCTTTGTATCTCGATGAAAAGCTCGAGTTTAGGATGCAAAGTCGAAGAGGGAGAAGAAGTGCGTTTGGATTGGATAACGAAGAAGGGGAACAAAACAATAATATTAATATTAATCTTTACGATGACGATGATGATGATAATAATAATAATGGTAATGGCGGTGGCAACGACAACGACAATAGTCAGGCTATTGTTGTAAGAATTGCTCCTGTACGAGAAATGACAACTGAACAATTATTCTCGAGGATACAACATTTGCAACAGCTTCTCGAACGCTTTTTGGCTTGTCGTCCCACAGGTTCGTTTCATTATGTATATACGTTCGTAGCCAATTTCCATATCTTGATTCTTTGGTAAACTTACATATATGCTCACGTTCGGCCCCATCTAGCTAACTGGTTCGTGCAATCGAACATACCAAAATAAAATTCAAGATCTTCCCTCTTTGTATCGATTTGAAAAGCGTCTAAAACACGTAAACTACTCGACCCTTTAACAAAAACACAATGATTATACAACTTTAATCTTCAAAATCATAAATTTTATGAAATTGATTACTTTTTTTGTGTTGTTTCTTCCTAGGTGCGGCAAAGAACAACAGGGTGGTGTTAGTAGCATTGTATCCAATCGTGAAAGAAAGTTTCCAAATATATTACGACATAACCGAAATTATGGGTCTCCTAATCGATCGTTTCATGCAGCTAAGCATCCGAGATTGTGTCAAAGTGTACGAGATTTTCTGTCGTGTCGGGAAGCAATTCGACGAGCTAGAATTGTTCTATTGTTGGAGTAGAAGCACTGGAATTGCTCGCTCTTCTGAATATCCCGAAGTCGAAAAGATTACTCTGAAGAAACTCGAAGTCATGGATGAATTCATTAAAGACAAATCCGCCTTAGCTCAATCCCAGAAGGATAGAGGAAAGAACGAACGTCATGAACAAATCACAAACGAAGAAGAAGAAGAAGAACAAGAGCCAGAGCCAGAACCAGACATGAATTCGATTAAAGCTCTTCCACCGCCGCCCGAGGAATTCAAAGAAGAAGAACAAGAACAAGAACAAGAAACCGCGATAGAGATTAAGGAAGAGATCGATGAAATTAAGCCAAAACAAGATTCATTAATGGGTGATTTATTGAATCTTGGTGAAGAACTTGCATTAACAAGAGAACAAAATGCAAATAAATTGGAATTGGCATTATTTGATGGAAGTTCTTCAACTACAAACCCTTCATCAACTCTTCCATGGCAAGCATTCAATGATCCCTCATCGGATTGGGAGACAACATTGGTGCAATCAGCAAGCCATTTGACAAGCCAAAGAGCTGATCTTGGTGGAGGATTTGATATGCTTTTATTGGATGGCATGTATAATAAGCAAACAACAATGATATCCACAATGGGTAGCTCAGGGTATGGAGTAAGTGGCAGTGCAAGTAGCATGGCGCTTGGGTCTGCAGGGAGGCCAGCCATGCTAGCCTTGGCAGCCCCTCCGTCGTCCGATGGGAGTGCGAGCTCATCCTCGATCGTAAGCGACCCCTTTGCTGCGTCGGTGGCGGTGGCGCCCCCGTCGTACGTGCAGATGTCGGACATGGAGAGGAAGCAGAAGCTATTGGTGGAGGAGCAACTGATGTGGCAGCAATATGCAAGGGATGGGAGACAGATACAACATAACCCTTATACAGGAGGATTCACAAGAAGTTAGTAGGGTTTTGGTTTCAATTGGTTTCAATCAATTTACTTTGTAATTTTATGATTCTTTTAGTTCATTTTATTTTATTTACTTTCCTTTTCTTTTTTTTCTTTTTTTTTTTTTTTTTA